ACACACACACACACACACACACACACACACACACACACACACACACACACACACACACACACACACACACACACACACACGGCTGGTAGAAGGAAAGAGTTTGGCAGGTCCTTTAAAAGTTAAACATAGAATTAACATATGAGCAGCAATTCTGCCCCTAGGAATAGACCCAGAAGAACTGAAAAGAGACTCAAACAAATGCTCACAGCTGCGTAATTCATAATAGCCTAAAGGCAGAAATGACCCACCAGGCATCTCAGGATTAATGGATAAAACACACTGGGCAGACGGAGGGAAATACAATTCAGTCACTCACAAGGAAGGAAGAGCTAAGGCAGGTGACACTGTGGTCAGACCCTGAAACACACAATGAGATCACAGCCTGTGTGACCTGATTCACAAGAACTATCTGGGACAGGTTAGATCCAGCCATGGCCACAGGAGGCAGACTGCTGGCTGCTGGGGGTGCCAAGGGGAGGCGGGGAGTAACCCCTTACTTCCTGGGGCACAGGCTATTCATTTGGGGGTACCAATATTTGGAACTAGATGGCAAAGGTGGCTTCACAACATTGTGAGTGCATTAAGATGTTCACTTTAAAATGGTTAAACGTGTGGTGAGACATGCCTGTAGTCCAGCACTAGGGAGGCTGAGGCAGGAGGATCATGGTCAGTTCAAGGCCAACTTGTCTCAAAAACAAACAAACAAACAAAAATATACATATATACACACATATAGTGGCTACTTTTTATGTTATTGGAATTTTCCCTCCATTAAAAAACACAAGCAGTCACACCCACAAGCCAATCTCAGTCATGGCCAGCTCTTCTTAAGTGGCTCATGCAGCAGTGAGCGGTGCTTTGGGCCCAGCCTAACAGCCCTATGACCCTGGGTTCTCTGAAGGCCATAAGGAGAAGCTGCCTCCGCTCTGCAGCATGGTGACGAGGCAGTGGTATCTGCAAAGCGCCTCCCCCTGACAGCGTCCCACCGCTGGGGCTGCAGGTGCATGGCTGCCTCCGGTGGGAGGCCCAGGTAGTGTCCCCTGTCCCTTCCAACAAGGAGGCGGTAGCGGCCAGCTGTCGCGGCTCACCATGGGTCACGCTCCTGGCTGCCTCTTTGAGCTTGTAGCAGAGAAAGATAATCAGGACCAAAGCAGAGCTGGAGGACCTGCTGTGTGAGCCCCAGAGTAAAGAGGACACAGTGCACAACTCACGTGAAGTTGTTTTCATCCGATGAGGAGGGAAAAGACCTTTTTCTCAGTTGCTAGGTGACGAGGACAGATGATTGGCGCAAGAGACACTGCTCAGGAAGGAGCCCGCTCGGCCGCAACCACTTCCACCCGCTTACGATGCACAGTCAGACGCCAGGAACAGCTACTCACCACATCTGTGGGCCGCCTGCCCTGCTTCTCCGCATCCCGGCTGATGGCAGCCAGAATGAGGCCGCTGCTGTTCTTGGTGGCAAATGTGGCCAGCAGTCTGGAGTCCGGCGACAGGGGCCTGGGTGGCAGTTCCACGTGGCCGCCTCTCAGGAAGCTGACGCTGCGGATGGGCTGGCATGCAGGGCAGGGAAGTGAGCACTGCCGCGGGTGGGGCCTCCTGCTCTGTCCGCCTCTTTTCCACCCACCCGCCAGCTGACTTCTGGGGACCCCGATATGAGTGACAGCATTCCCACCTCCAGGACGCAGCCTTTGCCCACGCCGTAGGAGTTCCGGAGCAAATCAAAGGTGGACCTGGAAATTTCCAGGTTCTTGATGCAGCCCACGTAGCTTTTGCTCGTTACGCCTTTCCTGCAAGAAGGACGGGAGAACGACCAGTGGAATCTGGGGTTTGTAATTCCACTTTTGGAAGATGAGAGGAAAAGTGTGTCCACCTGAGGACCCTGAGCCGACAGCGGCTGTGGCTGTATAGATCCATGGAGCTGCTCACAAGTGATGACCCCACTCCCTGGGGCTACAGCGTCTGTACTGCTGGTCTCTTACACGTGACATTCTTCTTGAGAGTGTACAAAAACCTTAGAGCTTCATTTGTCCAATCCAAAATTACAAAACTGAAGACAGTGAAACCCCCAAAACTGACATACATGATTAAAGTCAGAAAGCGAAGCCGGGGTGAGTGCTGTACTAAGATCCCGTGGTCTCCTGCTCTGTCACCCAGTTTCCTGGCACTAACTACGCAAGGGAGAATCCAGAGAAGACTGCAGAAGGCATAATCTGGATGTTTTGTTTTTTTCTTTTTGGCATTAAAGAGATTCCACTACAGGGATGAAGCGTGACCAGCAAGCAGTAGGAGGGTCTCTATATACCATGCAGGAACAATGTTTGGATGTTCTAAAGGCAATAAATACACACTCTGCTGAAGTTTTGGTTTATTCCCAATTCATGTGGTGTATAATACTTTGAATAAACACAAATGTTATGGGTTAGCTGTGTTCTCCAAAAATGTTCAGTCTTGATTCCCAGGATCCACAAATATGACCTTATATGGAAGGAGTTTCTGCGCAGGTCAGTCAGGATGAGGCCATTAGGCTGAGTCCTAGCTCCACAGGTGTCCATATAACGAGGGGACAGAGGGACACAGGTTCAGAGGGAGACCCGGGGAAAGCCACAGGGAGATGCCATCTGTGAGGACAGAGCGACTGAGGGCATGGGAGAGATTCGCTTTCACAGCCCTTGAAAGGAAGCAACCTGTTCCCACCTCAGTTTTGGACTTGTAACCTCCGGAACTGTGAAAGAATAAATGTTCTGTTGTTCATGTTGTTTTGTTACAGCAGCTCTAGGAAACCAATACATCTGCTCACCAGGGACTGACCCTACCTGGGAATTCTTGACCACGGCAGGCCGCCCACGTAGATTGGGTCCTTATCCAAACGGTTGAGGTCGGAAGAGGCTCCTGGGGATTCGCCTTGCTTGGTCTCTTTGTCGCTGGTGTTGTAGACGTCGATGACAGCCAGGAGCCCTGACAGGAGCCAGAGAGGAAGAGGTAGGGAATAGTCACCTTGTATACTACAGTAACTGCATGCTTCTGCCGATACAGTGCATTTTACAAGGCCATGCTATTTTAAAGTCTACAAATTTGAGCAGCTAATGTTCTTGACTTCTACAAAACTGAGGAAATCTAGACTACACATTCCTAAGTGAGAAAAGAACAGATTTGCTTTCTTGACCCCAATTTGGAATTTATATGAACCCACAGACAAATAGAGTTATAATATTCCCCAGCAAGATGCATTCCAAAACCAACAGTGGCTTTCAATTGCTACATCATTTGAGAATGTTATGTACCCGTGAGTTAGGGTGACACAATGGAATACCATTCGGGAGCACCAGGCAGCTAGTGCAGAATAAGACTGCTGATTTTGGAAAGATGTTTATCCTTACAAGGGCGACCAGCATCAGAGTCCACCTGTGCCCCTACCTTGCTTCCGGTTTCGCTGGAAGGCGATTTTGTACCAGGACCCGTTGTTGTACCGCCGGTCCGTGGTGAGAGTGAGAGGTCCTGACCCCAGATCAACCATAACTCTGACCCTGCCATGGACCAGCTCGACGGACAGAAAGTCTTTCTGTAAAGGAGAGATCAGTTTCCCACAGCTGCGTCTTTATCCCAAGACTCCCTCTCCCTGTCAGTCAGGGCTGGCAGAAACCTGAAGTCGAACTGGGGAGACAGCAGTGGGCCCCATAACCAGTGATTGATGTGGTGAGACTAAAAACATCCACTGTGGCTTCCTAGAACACCATCCAAACACAGAGGAGACACTGCTCATCGACCCAAGCCCGCAGTTCACTCGGACACAAAATCTCCTCAGTCTTGGTTACTTAGCCTGACAAATGGACGAACCCTAAAAAAGAGGCCTACAGACTGAGGGGCAGGGATGACCAGCCAGTGCACGAAGTACAGTGGGAATGTGGGGCTCCTGGCTGTGAGGGAAGCCACCATGGTCACAGTGAGCACAGACTAAGGCTTCTTATCCAACTCAAATTTAGTGCCACGTGCTTAACTGCCACCTATGCCCAAAAGGCGTGTTTCTATGTGGCACCCTTCTGTGTTCTCCCCAAAGGTTCTTCATGAAGTCATTAATAGAGGAAATGCTTTTACATGAGGAGACTGGATAGCATACTTGAGTGTACTATATTATATAGGCTCATAAAAATTGCATGGCATAAATATGCAATGATAATTGTACGCGACATCCCCGCCCAGTCCTGCGGGCTGAGTGGCGGTGCCCCTTGCCTTCCCTACTTCGGCTGTACTGTTTTATGTCAGGAGTCAGAACGAAGCCCTGCGTGCCCCAGACGGGCACGGCAGCTAGCAGTGTTGGGCCACTGTTGCTCCCTTGCTCATGGCCGTCACCGAGGCCCAAGTCCTGGTCTGTGGAGTGGCAGGGCCCTGCTGAGTTACGTGCAGCTGAGGTCAGCGTGACCCCAGTTAAAATCCTTTCCCCAGAACTATGGCTTCTCACTGACCCTGTGGGTTGCCTGCTAATTGCGCCTGGTCCCAGTACCGGTTTCTTCTGTCCTAGCAAGATAAGCAGAGCCCACTCCCTGACAGCCCTGCCTGGCGCCATCACGCCTGGTGTTGGGCAGTAACTCACTAGATGCCTTCAAAGCGCTCCCTGCTCCCTGTTCCCTCCCCGATTGTGTCCAATAAATTCTGAATGCGCTCGGGGGCCTTTGCTGCCATCAGCAGCACTGACCAGGACCAGGACTGAGCTTCTCCACTCTAAGTCTCCTTTCTGTCTGTTCTTGAATCTTCCTTGTGCCGTGGTGGCTCCCAGGAGGCCAGGACCCGAGGCAGAGGTCCTGACAACGTCCCCTTTCCCACTCCCTACAGATAATGGTAGCAAATTTTTTCGCCTACAACAAACAACCTCACGGCCGCCCAAGTATCCCTCGCAGAGCGCTCAGTGCCCCGTAAAGACTTACAGTGCCGTTTGAAGTCAGGTAGAGAAGCAGCCCGTTGGGGGAGAAAGTGTTGAAGAGCATGACGACCTGAGTCACGGTGGCCCGCGTGGCCTTCTCCACCACGGAGTAGCCACTGCCGTCGAAGTGGAAGGACGAGTCTTCGTTCTGGGGGCTGCAGAGCAGACATGAAAGTCATCCCCTCCAGGGAGGCTGAGGAGCACGAGTGCTGTGTTTACCAGCTCTCCCTCACCCACATGGCGGCTCAGCCGTTATTTCCATCATTTGACAGCAAGTGTAAAATACAGCACAAGGTGAATGTCCCTTATCTGAGAATGTAAAATCCAAAACACTCCAAAATCTGAAATTTTTTGAGCACCGACGTGCTGTCTCAAGTGGAAAATTACTCACCACGAAACTGTTCTCATGCACAAAATTATTAAAAATTCGTGTATAAAATAAATAAACTTCATGGTTAGATTTGGGTACCCTCCCCAATATATCTCATTACATATATGCAAATATCTCATCGCCCACAACAAAACCCAAATCTGAAACAGTTCTGGTCCCAAGCATTTCAAACAAGGGATATTCAACCTATATTTGAAAATATACTCGCCATGAGATTACACAAGACAAATGCTCAGCTGCTTCATAAACAAAAGAAAGTTAACATAGGCAGAGTTCATTGCAATAACAAGAAATTTCCTCGCAGGAAGATGGCTGCTATAAATACTTCCCCTGCCTGAGTAGTCGCGGGTGTCTACTCCCTCTGCTGTCCTGCTCTGTAACTGTCCTTTCTCGCTTCCAGTGCACTTAGAACAACCTGCACACTGGCATTTCTGACTCTGCTGGGCTTCCCTGTGCCTCAGGTAAAGGGGTCAGGATGAGGTGAACCCAAGGCACCCTGCCCCTAACAGCTAAGGCAGGGCCATGTGCCCTGTCAGAAATTCTCCACTGCTCTAAGGTGGAGCCAGTGGTCTGGGATCAGAGCAGGAGAGGAAGGGCCGGGCGTTCTCCACGTCAGAAGCCCCGCGTTTCCGGGAAGCACTTTCACCATCATGAAGCTCTAGAAGCAGATGGCTCAGTCTGAACTCACAGCTCGCTGCACCCAGCAGAGGGACTTCCCAAGGTCACAGATTTCCAACACTCGCCCAGGACAAAACTGTAGTTTGCACCCTAGATTTATTGTCGAGAAAGTAACACTGAGACATTTACCTAGAAAGCAGCATCCCACCACTGCAGGAAAACAGTGAAGAATGGAGCTGTGTGTCAGATTAACTGCATTAAAGTACTTGCAGGAACACAGGGCTGTGTGTCAGGCTCACTGCGAGCTGGGTCAGACAAATGCACTCTTCTGGAGGAAGAACCAAACCTCAGAGAGGTGAGGAGACAGCCCAGGGCCCAAGAAACCCCCGCTCCGAAGCCAGTGCTCTTCCTTCCCAGGCTGCAGTGGGTGAGATGCCGACCATAAATTTTAAGCAAGTTAAAGGAGGGGGGACGCAAATGAAAGGCTGAAAGCACAAAACCTCAAGTTCAGAGCCACGTCAGAAAACGGACCTAACAGTGGAAACCACCATGATTTTCTTCTTCAGGCAACACAAGCTGCTTCTACCTGACCAGGTCCCTGCTCCTGGCAGTAAAGGACGCCTGTCTGACTCAGTGGTGGCCAGGGGAGAGGTCCCAAGTGACGCTGCCCTTCTCCCCGGTAAAGGAACCGATGTGCTGGAAAACCGGTTTTAGATACTTCTGGAATGCAGAGGTTTTGTTACAAGGAGAGGTGCAGAACTCGGAAAGATTGTTATTAAGTACTTTCTTGATTCACCCAGAAGGACACTAGCTGTTCCTTATTTCCAAATGCATTTTATCTCCAAGATTATAGAACTGAGTTACAAATAAGGACATACTTATCTACAAAATCAACTATACATACGTACACATAAAATTCAAGCACTTTTAGAATAAAAATCTTTTTGTCTTTTTTTTTTTTTTTTTTTTT